TTTTGTATGCCTTGGCGGTTAGACGGTTGACCTCGAGAGGACGGAGCACTGGTTGTTCTCACAGGAGGGGAAGTGTGTGCTTCGCTTGTTGCTGTTCTGCTGTTGACTTCGGTCGGAGGTTAACCATGAATTTCTAAACCCTTGAGAACAAGCTTCACAATGACAATTTCGCACGCGCACGGGCACGACGCGTGTCCCGCGAAACCAAAGGAGGGAACACGACGTCCTCGTTTTTTTTGGCGGCGCTCACGGACCATCCATATTGCCGCGGAGCACCTCAGCTTACAAGGTTCCCTCCGTGGGCAACACGGTGACGACGTCTCGGTCGTGTGCTTCGTGCGGAACGTTGGACATGTGCATACATTCATGGTTTCTTCAATGTACGCGCAGGGACACGATGTTTGCGCGATCCCAGCCCTGCGGTCGGAAGTGAACCGCGAATCTGTTCCTACCGCTGCAGTACACGGTCATCCCGTGTGGTGTATCACTCGTTTATTCCCGGGGCAAGGGGCGAGAGTTCCGTGTGTTGTGCCGCTCACTCCCCTCTTTCCTGCCTCCCTCCTGTTTTTTTTTTTGGTTAGCGTGTTTGCTTTCTTTTGGTCTGCTTTTTTTTGCTCCCCGCGGCCGCCTCTCCCCTGTCAGTCTGCCTCCCTCTTTGCCGCCTTCTAAACGTTGCCCGTCTTTTTGTTCCTCCCTCTGCCCGCCCGTCTTACCGTCTGCCTATAAACCCTCTGTTCGGGGAATCAACCCACAAACCCCCCAAAAAAAAAAAAAACACACCTCCCGGGCCCCCAAGGGGTGAACGGAATCCTCGATGGGGCCCCCCGGCCCGAGAAAACCCCCCCCGGGCTCCAAACAAGGCCTTTCCGCCCCCCCCCCCTCCCCCCAAACTACTCGGGTTGACCCCCCGAAGGAAAGGGGGGGGGCAAAGGCCGCCAACTCCAAAACCGCCTCCTCCGGAAACCCCCGTGGGGGGGGGGTTTAAGGGGGGGGGGTAGGGGGAAAGGGGGGGGGGGGGGGGGGGCACGCGCGAGAGGTGGGGGGGGGTCCTACTCGTTGTTGTAGGTGCAACGGTTGGTTGTTGACCGGTGCCTCTGTTTTCTGGATGGAGCACTGCTGTTCCTGCTCCCTACTGCTGTATGATAGCGGCTGCTATTGCCCTGAGGGTTGGTTGATGCTGCTGTGTTTCGTACAGCAGCAGTGATGATGCCGACGGCACACGACAAGCGAGACCTACCAAAGAGCGGCCACCAGCAGCCGTCGCGGCTTCCCACAGATACAAGACACAGGCACCACCGAGGCATCAACAAGTGATATGCCTAACACGAAGCGACAGCAGCCGACCTTCGTCTTCTCACACGAGAGCAAAAAAGCAAAAAAGCAAAAAAACAAACAGAATGAATCAACCACCAAATACAAACACACCAAACAGACGCGGACACAACAACAAAAACTCGCCTGCTTTCCCTCGTGCTGTCTCCCAGGCTTGGGCACGAACATTACCCCGTTCTGCGCCGCGTACCCTTCCACGACGTCCTTGAAGCTCGCCGTCGTCGGCCCCCTCGATCGAGCCTGCTCGGCGGCGGCGGCAGCCGCGGCGGCGGCGGCGGAGGCGTTCTCGCGCTGCCGCACCGTGGCGGCCTCCATCCTGCGGTGCTCGACGACGCGCATGTAGTCCATCTGCTCGCTGGCGCCCGCTGGCAGGGGCACACCCAGCCGCTGGTGGTCTTGCATCACCTTTGAATTTATGCGACGAAAGAACAACGGAGGCATATACATATATGTAAAATGCGTGTTTGTGTTTCTTTGTATAGTAGTGACCGCGCTAGCCGGCGGGGCATACTGCACTTCCAAATCTGAACGAACGGAAAGACAAACACTGCCGTGGGACCGGTGCTAAGCCGGCCAGACACAGCGCACGGCCGGAATGTCGGTGACTAGGAGGGCGCCCGTAGGGACCAAAAATGAGCTTGCAGCTGAGCCAGAAGCAATGTCGGTGAAAGAGGAGTCAGGAGAGAACCACACCTAGCGCTGGAAGACAAGGCCATACTCCGTCTGCACCGCCGAGGCCCCGACCAGAGCATCGTGGCCACATACGAACGGAACGCAAGGTGCAACAGGAAAGGTCGCCACAACCACTCCAACATCGCCACGACTACCCCCAACGGAATACCTCCATCTTCAGCCTTTTGAGTTTGGAAATAAAACGGAGGGCCAACCAAAGATCAAAACGGGGGACCAATCAAAGACGCAATTCTATTCGGTAGGCAAAAAGTCCCTGCCATAAAAGATTTCCCCCCGGTCATTCAGTTCTGCAGCGAGGTAGCTTACCTGGTCCATGAGACTCAGGGCCGCGCTGAACTGGGCCATCACCCTGGGGTCCGATCGCAACCTCTCCGGGAAACGATCCTTCCAGCCTTGGTACCATAAAGCAACCTAACGATGGTAGCGCGAGGTGGAGAAACGAACCCCAGAACAATGGAGTACAAAATAATTCTCAATATTTCTCAAAGTAGTTTTTGAAATATTCGTGAACATGGGGGACTCATGGATAGTTAATGCCCACGGATCAACCACGGAATATGCAACGTTTCCTTGGGTAACACAGGAGGGGAGAGGAGGTATTGGAACGGGGTCAGAATGGCTGTCAAGGTGAAAGCGACAGACAGCCACAACAACAATGTAACGGTAGCACTACCAGGAACTGATATTGGACTGACCTACAGTAGAAATATTCAGAAAAATAACTAATCTCGTCATCGAACGCAAGTCGCTCGAGGTACAACACCTAATTCGGGTGACGAACCATCTCTGTCGTCGAACACAAATAAAAAATCTTTGATGAGAACGTCGAACCGACAAACCGCTAACCTCGGCATAGTCCGCTGTTTCGCTGAGCCAGCGGTGCAACACCGTGAGCCACTTGGGGAAAAATTCCACGTCGAGGATGCTGGTCATGTACAACGGCGGTAGGAGGTCTGCCCACATCATGAGCATGTCGAAGGGAGCCATGTCCTGTGCATACAGCACGAGTAGACAGGAATTGGCGGGAGAGCGGGGCGGGGCCAGGGAGAAGGCAAGGGAAGGGGGATGTTGCTCAGAAAATGTGGACATGTACGTGTAGAGCTGAGCCAAGTTCGAAGTGAAGGAAATTTGACGCGAGGCAGAAGAGACGGGTTGGGAGGGTGGCTGGGCTGCTAAAGCTGGTTCAACAAGACACCAGCCAACTATCATCATCATCACCACTACCGCCTTCACCACCACCACCACCACCACCACCACCAACAGCCATAACAAGGACAGACCATCACCATCATCATCACCGCTACCACCTTCAGCAGCAACAGCAGCAGCACCACCACCAATTACAACAACAACAACAACAACAACAACAACAACAACAACAACAGCAATAACAACAATAACAACGACAGACCATCACCGCCACAATCGCCATCATCATCACCACCCGCCTGCAGCAGCAGCACCACCACCACCACCACCATCACAACCAAAACAACGAGAGTATGCTACAACACCATCACACCGCCCAATTATCATCGCCACCACCACCTACAGCAACAAAGAGCGACAACACCACCACCACCAACAAAAACCACCAAAACAGCAACAGCTTACGACACCGTACCTGGTTGGCGGGGTTGATGACGAGCGAAGCCCTCAGGCCAGCCACCAGCTTGGGCGCGACGAACTTGCTCAGCAGAGCCTCCATGCTGCGGGAGTCGAAAACGTTCTTCCAAGGGGACAGGATGACGTACACCGTCGAGTCGAAGACGTCGTTCCAGTGCACCAGAACGGCCTCCAGTTTTCGACGGATCTCCGGGAACAGGCCTTTTTTTTTTTTTTTTTTACGAAGAAGCCGAAAAAATCGAAATAACAAGCCGAGGCCGAGAAAACGAATGAGAAGCACGAGCGGGTGAGACTCGAATGGAAGACGTGTCATCCACACGGAAAGCAAGGATACACAGAAAAAAGAAAAGAAACCATTGACCAAAAAAATTGCGGTGCAGTTCAACATGACAATGCGCCTGTGTCGTGCAAACAGTGATTGCTGGCAGCTACCGCTGTACGACAACCCCCCCCCCCTCTTGTCGCCACTCTTCCCGTTTCCTTTTGCCTCTGTGTGCTTGACATGCTTCGTGTCACGCTATGCATCTTCAAGCGGCATGAAGCATGAAGGCCGAGAGCCTTCTGTGCTTTGGTATGGTACGTTTCATTGCTATGTTTTGGTGTATATGGTACGTTTCATATTTTCAAGCCACCTGCAAGCCGAGAGCCTAGCAGCGGCAGCCAGGGGTGAATCCACGTGTGGATGGCAACCGTGTCCGTTCGCGGGTTCCACTCCGTGACTCCCCTCGTGAGCTTCGGCAAGATCGCCTGAAAACATTCAAGGCAAAAATGCAGTAAAGGGCATCATGGAGACATACATACAGAGCGGTGACGCAAGTTAAACGAGAAAGAGGTTGAGGCATACTGGCAGACTGCATGAAAGTGTCAGAAGATTTGTATGTATCT